TCTTTTTATGAAAGATTTACTATTTTCTTTGAATCTAATTACTCTAATTATATGAAAGTATCTTCAATACTACAAATATCTTAAGTATAAATACAGTAATACCTCTTATAAATAATCTTTGATATAACAATTTGTTATGTTATGCTAGAAAAATATGAATAAATTGTACCAGAGGAAGAAAATTATTTGTAGGAAATTAAGTTATCCTTATTAATGGGTTTCTAAACTGTTAGATGATCGGTTTTCAGTGGAAGATTTAGTAATAAAGAAAATGGAGATAAAATTAAAGAAGTTTTTAAATGAAATTGAAAATGTTAATTATGATGATTCGAGTCGTAGAGATGATTCGAAAACAGGTGTAAAGCAGTAGTCGTTGTGGGTCGAAAAGGGCAAATTTAAATAAAATTAGAATAAAAGAGACGAGGGTTTCTCGGTCGTTCGTCGCGTTTAATATTGGAGACAGAGCAAAGTGTAAACCGTGCTTTCGGTATGCAAATATTGACGGATCCATCACGAGCCGGAGATCCGCAGTACATACACTATGTACTATATAGTAGTAGAGAAAGAGAGAAAGAGTGGGTGCAAAGGGTGTGCATAAAAAGGGGTGGCTTGTCTGTGTTTGGGTTGATAGATGCCACTTATGTTCGTTACGCACTTGGCATTCCTGTCGCCTCCTTCCGTTTTTCCTCTTGCAATAGCGAAAAGCATCAACAACGTGCGTCCTCGCTCAGGATGAAGAGGACGAGGTTCTTTCTTTTTTTATATAGTACAAGCAGATTTTATTTAGTGCGCCTTACGCCAAAAACGATTCATTGTGTATTGATTCCCTTTTTTCCCTTCTTTCTTCGGTCGAAACGCCGCTCTTACATTCCCAATACATCCGTAAAACCTCTCTTGACATGAATGCCGCCGCTACCTCAATACCAGAACGCGCCGAGCAATTCCAAAATAATATCTTGATATAAAAGTCTTATAAGGCACCTTTTCTCTCTCCCTCGCTGTGTATGTGTGTTTTTTTTTGTTATATTCCTTCGCTCTGCTTTCGCTCACTTCCTCCAGCATTATTATATGCGTGTGATATATATTTTTCCCCTTACAATCGCTCTCCTTTATTAATTTCTCCGAGAAAGGAACGAAAAGCTCTTTCTCTAAAATATCGAGAAAAAGAATGAACGAAGGAGAGACAGAGAGAAAAGAAACTTAATTGGAAATTTGTGTTCGAGAGAATTCCGAGAGGGCATTTAAGAGAGCGATAATCACCGAATTAAGAAGCGTTTAACTGTTGATGTAACAACCCGGCCGCGTCTCTGCGAAAACCCGGTTTTGCATGGAGGGTTTGGGGGGATTGGGATTCGCCCGTTTAATTCGCCCATGCAAAACTGAAATGTCAAAGTTTGTTTTCGGGATGCGACCGTTTTCATTAAGCCGGAGAAATCCCATGAAATTTGTCACAGAATCTAAATGTTCGATGAACAACTTTCAAATAACTTCGCCAATTCGACAAACAAATAACAAATGTACACATTTAATTACTGTCTGGATGAAATATAAATGATTTTAATTTTTTGATAACTTTCAGCTAATATAATGAAGGTTTTAACCATTTGCGGACAAGAGGCGGATATATCCGCCCTACCTTGCATCATTGAATCTTTGAATAACATTGAAATAATTTCTAGACAATTAATGTTACGTTAAGTGAAATACATTTTTCGTTGATTTTTGATGTATTTTTTAAAGATTTTAAAGCAAATTGATGATGGTATTATTGAAACGGATCTGTGGTTAAAGATTGGATAAAGCTAATCATCAATTCCGTTCGTTTTCTGGTGTAACGTTAGAGTTATGCGATTAGTTGGGAGTTGAAAGAGTGGAGGTATAATCTGATAATACGCTTTGGGTGGCTCTGGAAAAATGTAGCTTCCGAAGTGCCAGACACTGTAATTCGTTAATCAGATGTTTTCCACGTCTCGTTCACGGCATGCGGGATGAAGAGAGGAGGTTCATCATGGGAGAATAATGCGGTGGATCTGTGTCGCGCTTTATGAGTGAGCATATCCCTGGGAAAAGGCGACGTCTGAAAGCATTGCAATTTTCTTGCATTTGCACGTCGTCGTCGAGGAGGACAGGACAGGAAAGGAAAACGGCGAATGCATATTATTCGCATGTATCTCGTCCTGATCCTAAAACTGCGCGCTGAGTGACGGCGGCAGCTTAGCTCCTCTTCCATCCGTCCCACGATTTGTTTCCTACCCCCGTTTTTTTTATAACATTCTTTTCCTCCAGCTACTCGCATATACACACATAATGACACAATCCTCCGCAGACACCGCCACTTCCAGCTGTAATGCTGCGGCCTCGTACAAAAGGTCTCCTTCTCTTTTGTTGGGCGGTGGAAATGGAACAAAAATACGACGAATTTGCATTCGAATAACTTCCGTTTTGCTGCGATCCGAAAAAGGAAAATGACGCGCGGGAATTGTTCGGACGGAGGAGCTGAAAGAACCTGAAAGAAAGAAAAAAACAGAAAGAAATGAGAATGAGGATCTAATAATTTGGTGGCCTTCGTAACATCTTCCTTCCTTGCATTAATTCAACCTGAATTCGGATTCAAGAGTGTTTTATATGTTAAACATTCTTTCTTACTTACGACATTCAATATCTTTTCAAAATTTACCTAATTAGACAAGAAACTTGTAATAAACAGAAAAAAAGTTAATTAAATTTTTAAAAAATATATATAGATTAACTGAGCCGTTCTCTTTGAAAGTGACTTAAGTCCATTTATCTTTAATATGAAATACTTAAGGTTTTGCGTTTTTACAAAATTAAAAATATACGTAAGATATATGGTTGACTTGCAATGTTAAATCGCATTTAAGGGATTTAATTTTATATATCTTATTAAAAAGTCGCTATTATTAAGTGTATAATATGACCTTGCTTACCTTAAAAGGACTAAGGTCACTTTCAAAATAAAAATTTGTTTTGTTACAAACAAAAGTCCATATACATATAGCTTAAAAATAGAAGAAAAAAACATTTAAATTATATTTTTAGATAATAGAAATAAATTTAGTAACAAGTTATTCGTTAACATTCTCAGTATGCTGGAGTGATTTGAAGTAGTTATGGTGTCCTTCGCTTATTTGAAAAGTATCTAATAAGTATTTTTTTACAAACAGCAACTTTGTCTGTTTTAGGATTTAACCAATACGTAAAACTCTCATTTCTACATAAACCTTTTCCGTTTCTCTGACGTCTTCTTTTTACAACACTGCGTCCGGTCGCTTCGTATAGCAATATATTTCGCTTATTAAAGTCTCCTAATTTCCAAAACATATCGAAAATACGTTTTCTTTCTGTTTCATTTAAATCTTCATTTTGAAAAACTTTAGCAGGAATAATTCAATTCCCGATTGTGTATCGTATCTTTTCCCTGAATTCCGTTTAATTTTACGAATTTTCTGAATATAAGTACCACTTCTGTGTTCTCTGAATCCTTCTTTGAAGGTGCTGTTTTGTAAATTCTCATTCTCAATTACTTCCTCTTCCTCTGTTGAAGAATGAACTTCTAAAATTCTCCTTCTTTTTTTAAATCTGTTGTATGAGTTTAATTCCTCTTCACTTTCAGAATCAAGAAATCTTGTTATTTTATCCTTTCCCATGGGTTTAATAATTTCTTTAAATTAAATATTATTTTTTAAATTTCAATTTAATATCAAAACGTAATTTAAATTACCTTCATCACTGCTTTCAACATTTTGGGCCGCACTTTTTGACATCGTCAATAAAAAGTGGACTTAGGTCACTTCATCACCTTCAGAAATTTGAAGATCTGCACTTTCGGACATTATCAACAACGTAATTTAAATTACCTTCATCACTGCTTTCAACATTTTGGGCCGCACTTTTTGACATCGTCAATAAAAAGTGGACTTAGGTCACTTTCAAAATTAGGATTTTCAGTATTTATATTATTTTGAAAATGTACGTGATATAAAATTTTCTTAAGCCACTTTCAAAATAAACGGCTCAACTAGATTATGATACGATCTTATTTTTTTTAAGTTATGATGACAGTTGCAGTGTACACACAAAGGGAAACGGTGTACATATAAAAGTTCGTAATTTAGTGATTGTTAAGTTTATTTATGGTTTAATTTTAGTTTCTGTTGGCAGCGTGCCCGTTGCTCCGAAAATAATCTCGAGAGTCGGCGTCAGGAAGGTCAGTGCTTGTGTTATTGTTATTGGAGTCGGATCTACGATGTCCCCGAAGATGCAGGTGCCTCAGCTGAGCGCCGTCGCTTTGTGCAACGTCTCCACTTTGCTAATGCAATGTTTATCCGATGACGAGGGTGCGAATTACGAGGCCGTAGCCACGTACTTATTGGACGCAACGCACGAGGTCCTCCAGGATTTACTGAAGCTGATACTGAACGTGAAGAATTTAGACGCTTCGACGCGTTTCAGCTGCTTGCAGATGATCCTCCGCGAAGATATCCAGCGTCTGGATACCGGCTTATTCCCGCATTCCTACTACGAGAAGATATTGGAGGTGATAGCTGCGAGTGGAAGAGGTCTGAAGCACTTGAACCTGAAAGGTATATGGCTCAGGGATTACCCCGAATCGTTGAGAGATCTGATCAGTAAATTGAGTAATCTTAAGGTGCTCGTGATACCGCACATGGCCGATGATCAAGTGCTCGAGGCTCTGATCGAATCGTGTCCGCAGCTTTCAGTTTTGGATATCTCAGGGGAATGTAACTTCACCGCCGATGGTTTGAGGAACGTTAAAAGTAATCGGCTGAAGGTTTTGAGTGTTGGCATGTACGGGAAGAGGACTGTAACGGATGATGATGCAACTGAGTACGTTCGTACAATAGTGCAGATGTTAAAGAACTTACCGAATTTGAACGTTCTGAAAACGTACTCGCACACCGGTTTAGCTTTGCTGGAGATGTACAAGGAAAATCCCGATTGTAGGACTAATCTCAAGTACATACACGATACGAGCACGTCGATCGAAGTTCTTGAAGCCGTCGTCAAGTTATGTCCGGAATTAGAAAGTGTTAATTTGAATTCGCCAAAGGAGCGCGTCTTATCCGGGCTCAGCAGTTTGAAGCGATTAAGCAGTCTCAAGATATCCGAGCCGGATTGTAGCGAGCTGATGGAGTATTTGGAGGTGGCGGGACGGAAGATACAGGTGTTGAAATTGAGTACGACGAGGGGTGAGTCTTTGGATGTCAGTAGGCTCGCGGTCCTCGCACCAGATTTACTCACCCTCGAACTCTACAAAAGCCGTCTGATCTGTATGCATCCGGATAACTATTTCTTAAGCCTTCAAACCCTAGAGGTCCTCTACTGCGATATATCAACGGTAGTATTACGCTACCTCCTGCAGAATTCGCCGTTCCTCAAACGCGTCATCATCGGTGACGATATCCACATGACGGACGGAGACGTCTTCAGGATTTGCGCTGAATGCGAGTTTTATGCTTTAGAAGAACTATGGTTCTCGAGAGCGAGAAGTCTCACGGCTACTTCGATCGAACTCCTCATGGGACACTGTCCAAACTTGAAAGTGTTAGGACAAGTATCGGGCTGGGATATTAGCTCCGACGATCTCGACCTTCTCAGGACTATCATAACTTCAGCGAACATCGACTTAACTCTCTTACCAATAGAATAATATGAGTTTACTGCGAGCGCAAATAGTCGATATAAATAGTCGACCCAATGTTTTCATATGCAAGTGCCAAATAAACGACTTCTGAAATTTACAAACATTCCTTAGCAATAATTTTGAAAGAAGACAATGTTAATTTTTGATGTAATTAAATACAATAAATTGCAATTATTTCATAAAACCTCTATATGATATATTTATTTCGTTATAATCCGAATAATTCAATTAAAATTGTAAATTTAATTACGTTTGTTGTTGTATTGTAGTACAAAAAAATCGATTGGTAATTAACTATGTGCAGGCTGCTATGTAGTATTTGAACGCTTGAAAGCAAATCGAGTGTTTTTGGATGAGTTTGTTTGAATGCGACTATTCCATTATTCGTGGTTTTATGTAAATACATATATAACAAAAACAAATATGTCGAAAGTATTTGAACTGTAATCACCAAACGAAATAAACAATTGAATAGTTCGAATAACGAACACCTTACATTTGTGAAATTGTATTTGTTTCGGTTAACGAACAAATTCGGATCATTCTTGAACGAAATATGTGTATAACAATATATTTTTTTAATGGGAATTGCAGAAATCTCAGTATTGGCAATTAAGCTGTGACCCTGGGTCATCTAAGGAACGTATAGGCGGCGCTGCATTCTTTGGGGTCGAAACAATTCCGAGGGATTTCATTTCGTAGCTCCGGCATTGCTTCGTTTTCTCAACCGTTTCGTCTTCCATCCTTCCTTCATTTCTTTCCCCTCGTGTTTCACGTTCTTGATGGATGGATTAATTAAAAAGGTGGATGAGAATCGGATTTACTTACGCAAGGGTGTCCAATTTATATACACACAGATACTTATACTTGCATATATATATATGTATATTTTGCTTCCGTAATTCGGTTGATATTCTAAGCCGTGGATGGAGTGTAGGATTCCATTTAGCCGAGGCATTAAGTGAGTAAGGAGTAATGCCCACATATTACTCATCTCTCGGTCGTTTATTCGAATGCGCCTCCGGCCCCGCCGGGATCGTCCTCAAAGGACCTCTTGCACATCCTGGCAGGATGCGAACAACTCTGCACGGCATTTCATTACGTTCAATACACTCAGAATGGAACGTCTACAACTACAATTGTAATTAAGCAGTACACAAACATACCGAAATTTTCCGAATTGTTGCGTTTTCCCCCAAAAAAAAAGTCCCAGAGTCTTTAGAGCAATAACATCAGATTTATCAGACTTTTTATGAATCTAAGTATGCGATGATGACCAAACTTTGTGATACCGCTGTTGCAAAAAATGACATTTACATACTTAATTATTTAACCGAGCAAAATGACGCTAACAAACTCAAATTTAAATTTCAAAATTGTCAAAATAAACTAAAGTAAGTAAAATTAGCAATGAGATTGATTGTAGTCTTAAGCCAAAAGACTATAGTTAGCAGATTCATAACGTTTCCACGATTCCCATCTACAAAAAAAGTATATTAAGATCATAGCCACATGAATCTAAAACTCCCAAAAGTACATTTCACGACATATTGAAAATATGAAAAGTAATTAAGAGAATTACAAGTTTTTTGTTAATGACTTCTATAAAAAGTAATGAAAACGCCGTTAAAACAGTGTTAAACTGTTGTGTCTATGATTTATCTATGATTCCTTTTTTTTTAATTAAAAAAAATGTTCAGTAAATCGGACAGAGGAAGTGAGAATTAATGTGTATTTGTTGTAAGTAAACTAATAATTTGTTCTATTTTCCATAAATATTCAATGAACGGGTCATTTTGACCTATAGGTAGTTGAAAATGAAATTAGTTTACAGATAGTTGGAATGAATGTGGTTGGAAGTTATCCAATCGAATAAAGTGATGTAATAAAAAAGGGGAAGTCGAATTAATTTCGTCCATAAAAAAAATAACATATATTTTGTATCTGCAATCATGGTTTATAGGAAGTTTTATGAATAGACCTCGGATCCATATATAATACATTGTATCCACATATTTTTAATCATCCGATTACAAAGGTTCAATTTCCCAAGCTTTACAACAACAAACAAAAACTAAATAAATTGGAGGGAGAGAGAAATTATAAACGGGCGACATACACACAATAGTGACTGCAACAGAGAATAGACTTTGGGTCTAAGAAGAAGAAGGAGAGAATAAAAAAAATAAGTATACTATACTAAATTTGAGTGTGTGTGTGTGGATTGGAGAGAGCCTGCAGACATTAGTTTTATCTCCAGGGCTGATCGATAAAGTTCGAAGAGCAACAAAGTATCTGCGGAAAACGGACGGATGTTTACTGTCTCGTATTGTTGGGTCCTTCCTACAATAGGGGAGAGGATGAGAACCATCCACCGCAACGATACAAACGAAAAAAAAAAGAAAAGAAACAATCATATCCGAAAATCATTCTGCAGGAATTCTTTCCGACTGACCCTTCTCAAATTATACACGAGTTGGCACGAAGCATGCGACCTATGCCACTCTCTCCTCTTTACTCTTTAC